AAGGGTAAAGATCTAACAGAGTTACCTTCAGTTTGCATATTTTTAACTGTCCTGTATAGAAAAAAAAACCCAGTTGTTAGAGGAAGCTTTTTCTGTCTGAAGAGAAGTTTGATTTGTTGGTGGGTTAACCTAGTTTCTAATCAGACTTTAAATACTTATGTGTCTGACAAGATACTTCAACCCTAAAAGTATCAGAGGAGCAAATGTTTCCTATTGTTTCAAATGAATCCAACCGAAGTATCCAGACATTTGGACTGAGCCAGGCTAGCTGTCGCCAACTATCTACTTTCTTAATGCTGAGCTTAGCTGACTGGCTCTTGCTGTAGCTTCATATACTCTGTATAGACTAGGGTTGTGTCACTCTAAGCATCTTACACTGATCAACAAGTCTAAATATAACACAGGTCGTGTCACAGAATGCAGCTGTGGGTGAAGTATTTACTGAGTCATTACTGAAGTAAAAGTATTACTACAAGACTTTTAAACACTCTGGTACACGTGAATGTCTTTTATTGAAGATTGAAGCAGTAAGAACAAACTCCCCACCAGATTGTTGATGGACGGTCTGCCTCCCCCACCCCCTTGCTCCCTATCCCTCTTCCTGCATCTTATCCCATCTCTCCCCCTATCCCTTTTCAACCCCGCCTTTTCATAAGGCAGTTTTTTCTTACCACTGTAACTTTTGCTGCTTTGCTAAAGTGCTCATGATGGATAGGCCGGGTCTTTGTAATATAGCAATAAGTAAGGTCTTTTACCTGCTTTTTGTAACATGACAATGAGTAAGGTCTTTTTACCTGCTCTTTTGTAATGTTAACAGACAGAGTAAGGTATTTTACCTGCTTTTTGTAAAGTGTCTTGAGATAACACTTATGAGTTGACACTATACAAAATAAATTGAATTGAATTGAATTAAGAAGCTGATAAAGGTAGTGGATTAAAAAGTGAATATTCCCCTCTGAAGTGTTGGGGAGGACACAAATAAAGTCATCTGAAAAATATAATGTTGGTCTACAGTGTGCTGCAGCAGGTAGTTTATAAACCTGGTCTCTGTGTGTCTCAGGTCTCGGACTCCCTGAGGAAGACGGACTCGTTCCTGTGGCAGTTCAGATCCCTGCAGCTCTCGTTGCTGCTCTGCGCCTTTGTAGCCGTGGTGGGCGGGGCTTTCTTCCTCGCCACAGCACTCTACATCGAACAAGACCGCAACCGTGCCGAGAACTACGTCCCTATAGGTGAGGCGGACTATGGATATAAAGTGTACAGTGTCCGGTCCGTGAAGCTCTCATGTAGACAGTCCTTTTGATATAAACCTTAACATTCATAGATACATTGAATTAACAGATTAGTTTTTTCCCACATCAGTTTTTTTTTCAAAGTTTAAAAGGGGACATATTATGAAAAATCCACTTTTACAGTGTTTCTTAACATATATTTGGCTAACCTGAGTGTCTACTGACCCACAACATGTGAAATAAATCCATCCAGTCCTTTGTTTGTGGTCTGTATAAGTCTTACAACAGAGAAAAATGCTCTGTTTCAAATTTTCTCTCCTTGAGATTCTGGTAAAAAAAAAGAAGAAAATGTAGCAGCAGCTTGGCCCCCTCAAAGCTCTCCCAAAGGGCGCCAGAGAAACACAGTTTTTAAACCTTATCAGTGCTTTTTATATATATTTGTTTTGGTTTTAATTACGGGTTCCTTTCATTTTGAAGAGGAGGATACCTGTGCAGACAATTCGTCTCCCAGTTGAAACCCCATGAATGCTGAAATCCTGAGGTAAAGCTAGCCGCTAGCTGCGGCTCGGCTGGCAGGCCCCTCTGACGCCCCTGCATACACCGATTATTCTGCTTAATTCAGTGTTCAATCAGTTTCAATCATCTTTTACTCGGATAAAAAGAATGCAGCATTCAAGTTGGGCTAAGGACAACGTCAGCACATGTTTATAATCTCTATTCTAAAAAGTTCCAACTGAGAAATCGCCTGCTTTCTTCCATCTTTATCCCCATCTTTGAACTGCAACTTTTTATGATGCAATGAGAATAAATGTTGTTCAAATCATAAAAACATGATCAGAATCGTTTTTCCCCTGTCATATTACCCAGCTTGAATTTGTTATAAAACACATGTTCTGTTTTTAAAAAGAATAGGTTAACTTTTCTCCTCATGTTTGTGTCTTCTCTCACAGATGACGAGCCGATCGTTGTACCAAAAAGCGGCCGGTCCACTCGGGTCCCGGTCTCCAGTGTTCTGATCTGATGACGGTTCCGGTCCAGCATCCTCCTGTGGTTATCTTTTTAATTTAATATTTTCAGGACTGTGATCACTCACGAGATATCTGCCATGCAGAGAGATTTTATCGAGGCTTTTATTTTTGAAAATTTTGGACTTTACTTTTTATACTTTACACTCTACCAAGCCCCGGATCATGCCACCAGTCTTTGGAGACATTTTTGTCTCCAGATCCAAGTTTTCTTTGCTATGACTTTGAAATATTTTAAGAAGAGCGGAGGGGAAAAAAAACGAGCACAAGAGACTCTCTGAGGAGAAGCACCAAACACTGCTCCGTGGGACCTGACCGTTTCCATTCTGATCAATATTTTGTTTTAACTTTTAGCAGGAAAAACAGGATCTGGGATCCAGTCCCAGCATGGTCCACATCCTCTGTTAAACCAAAACCTTACTGTACTCCCAAAACCTCCAGCAATTTCAAAACAGGACACTTTTATTAATCAGTATTCATAACCATGCATTTGTATCCGCTACTTTTAATAATAACACTAACCTTCTTACAGTTAAGAAAGACGCAGAACAACAACCAGAAAATGGAACACTTATCAAAGCTCTTTATTCATCTGTTTATTTGACATTTTCTAGAACTACAGCTGGTTTTAATCCTGGTGTTAGTTTTAGATGTTTTCAGCGTTAAAAAGAGATGTTGGGATGTTTTTACTTTCTCACAGGTCCGTTTCTGTTTTTTTTTTTCTTTGTGTCAGATTGCAGCTTCACCAAGTCATCTTGTTTTTAATTCTGCAGGTAGAGCACAAACTGCAGGAAATATGAGAATATTTTAAATCCAAGTTGTTAACTTCAAATTATTTTAGCTAATATTTTTTGAGAGCTATTAAAGGTGAATTAACTTGTCATCGTGTCGTTGTGTTTGGAATTCAAAATGGTTCGTAAATGGCTAAATGATGTTCCCTCCTCTTATTTAAACATCAGGTTGAAAAGTGCAGACCAATAGATTTATTATCTATATTCAAATATTTATTTTCTTTTATTGAAACCAAAAGCAGCGGATTTCTCTGCATGAAAGAAATGTTTGTTTTCACTGCAAAAAATATGAAGTAGCAGATGTAAAAATGAAGAGCCCTCTCATGTGACGCTATAGCCAACAGCAGCTTAGCTAAGCATGATTAGCGAAAATGTATGGCAAAAACAGAGAAACAGCTAGCCTGGCTCTTAGTGATTCTGAAAAGCTAGATTTGAGTTTTAGCCAGCATTATGTACCTGTACGATACGTCTGTGATTAAAACATGTTAAATACATTTGTTAAGGAAAACACTCATTGCTTACATTTTGGCTCGATTGCTGCAGATTGAACATTTTAAGCAGTGTCTGAGTTTAATACGGATAGCAGCTCTACTATTCTGGCAATGCATAGAGATCTTTTTTTAAGACATGTATATCTGTTGTGTTACGTCAGTTCAATGCTGGAAAGCTTGCGTAGTTAACTGCTGATTCAGAGAATAGATTATTTTTTGAGCAGAAGAAGTCATCTGTTGACTGATTTGTTTTCATGGTCACAGATAAAAGAAAATGTCAGCAGTTTGCACCATCTTTAAGAAAGGTCAGTGGCATGACGTTTGTAAGACATGTCCAGTAACATTTTCGAGAGGAGCGACTACTAAAAACTATTTAAATATATCAAATCTCATAGCTCATATGAAAACAGACAAAAATAATCTAGTATTTTTGTCTTGGATCTTAAGACCTGATCCTTTTTTTCTTTGCTTAGCTTGAACTCAAAACTTAAGTGTTAATTATTTGATTTAGATTTCTGCTCTAAACCTTTGGAGAGATCAGAACATCTTTCCAACACTGCTATGATCAACATTATAATATGCTCTAAATCACATTTAACCAGTTTGGGACATTTCACACTGTTTGAAATTGGGAAAATGCTCAAATGGTAAAAAAAAAAGAGTTTTTACAAGCTACAAGAACCTTTTTTCATGTTCTCAATTAAATTAAACTCTGCTCAGTTGTTAAAGAAGAGCCCAAATCTGGTATCTTGACTCTTGTATTTCCCTCCCTTTTTTTTTTTTTTTTTTTTTCAGTAGGAGCTCCCCTCTTCCTTTTTTCATCAACAGGAGGCTTTTTTTTTCCTGTTCTCTCATCTATCATCTCTCTGTCCTCTCCTCTGCTATCTTATCAAAAAGAAAAAAACAAGGCCGAGGATGACATGAGGAGAGGAGGACTCGACTTCCTTCCCTCGGTGTGGTTTCCTGTTTGTAGGTGGGAGGATGTTGAGACGGTTGCAGCAGCGTTCGCACACATGCTGCAGCTCTGAGGTGTCACTGTTGCATATCTTATTGGTTGGAGATGTTTGTGTTAAACTTCTACTCCAAACATCTTTATTTTTTGTCTTGGCTGCGGGCCTCGTTTCCACCAGCAGTTTTAGTCTGAAAGAGGGCAGTATGATCAACCCCCACATCACCTACTGATAGAGGGGTGACCTTTGATGCAGGCTGGTTGGCTGTTGAGTGAACCTCTGCAGAAGTTGGTTTCACAATTTCTTAAGACTTCTCTGTGTTTTCCATCTCTTTTGACCTGAGTTGAGGGTCGAACATCATCTTTCTCACAACACACCGGTAAAAAAACACTGAATGGTTTGTGGCAGGAGGTGAAACCTCAACTCAAGAGGTGATTGGGTTTAGATATGACGGAGGAGGAGAGTATGTGACAGAGGGAGGGTGGGTGGGGGGGAGGAAATAGCAAAGTAGGTTGCTAAAGGTGCAGATCACACACCAGCTCATCAGGGAGGAAAGACGACTGAAAGAGAAACGAAGTGAGGGAAGAAGTCTTCAGAGATGGTTGGTTAGCAGAGTCGCCTCATGTGGATCAGACACTCAAGGAGTACAAAACTCATTCTACATCCATCCATCCCTCCAGTCGCAGTTTGTTCTCAGGTGTAGGTGAGTCTTCTGTTTTTTTATTTTCAACTCCTTCAGCTCTGACTAGTGTTGGGTGGACGAACCTCAGTTTATTTCCCAGAATGCATGTGGAGCACAGGTTCAGTATTGAAATGGGTCACTTTTTTTTTTCCTCACACTGAAGTCTAAAAACTAGAGTTGAGTTCAATATACAGCTGTTTAAGATACCCAAAACCAGACCTTTGAAGGACGGTTGCACACATGTAGATGCAGGCCATCAGACATTATCAAGCCTGCACGCTTACTCCAAACCTAAATAATATTTTAATCATCACAGCGGTAAAATACCAATTAGGCCTTGGCGTTTAAATACTTTTGTCAAAAAAGCGACTTTGGCACTAAGTACGCTAACCTGCTGTATGTTCGAAACATTTGGATTGGCAAAAGGTGGTAGGAAAGACAAAAAGCATTCAAGAGAAGATTGAAATAATAAGTACTTTTGTTTAAAGCAACCAGGCGTCAAGTACAAAATCTCCAGCATGGAAGAAAAAATGATGAGGTTAGAAAACCATTTTTAAAACTAGTTGTTATTATTGAAAAGCTTAATATAACGTACCCTGTGTGTATAGGACGAATTCTATTTTATGGCTGGACAAAGAACACCAAAGGAATCTAGACCCAAAGACGAGCTAACCCCTCTTGAAATAAGCTAAGCTAATGTTAGCCTCCGCTTGGTTTGCGCCTCTAATTTCCTGTGTCTATCAAAGAGCCGGGGAGAAACTCTGATGTTTAGATGAAACAGTTATATTTTATGTGTTTATTTCTTTAAATAAAGACTGGAAAACACAAATTGGTGGTATTTTTGCAAATTTGAGTAATAATCTACTCTCTGCTAGCTGCCATGACATTTACTGGTAGCTATAGACTTCCAAAAACGACAAGCAGATTTTTTTTGAGTGGGAGCATATAGAAGATGGTATCGGTATCAGACAACTTTGACTGTTTCTACGAAATGTAACGTGCAAAACTGTGGTTGTAGGTGTGTTCGCTGCTTCATTGCGTCATTCAAACTCTTAAACAAGGATTAGATGGCTATCAGTGTTAAAGACAGTCAGTTCGTGCATTTAGCATTGACAGCCTTTTCTGCATTTGGGTCACTTGGTGGCCCTCAGGGTAAAGACCATAAACCACAATTTCCCAGTTTCACATCTAGCCAGTGGAATTTGTCAAAAATGTTCACTACAGCTCATACTTTCCCTTCATTTGCCGTCATCTGTCCTCTGCTGTTGAAGTCATAACGTGAAAATGACATGGTAGATTGAAGAAAATATGGGAATTATTCACAAACTACCATCTCCTGATACGGTTAAATGTGAAACGCTGTTGATCGGGAACCTTCTTTTCTTGCTAAAAAAGTGTGACCGTGAGTTTACTGTGCAACAGCTTTTTAAAGAATATATAAAATAAGTGAATATAGCCTCCTGGAATTCATCTATTAGTATGTGGATGACAGTTAAAAAGCCTTTAGTGAGGCATTTATTCTTATTTTGGCTCGCAAAAAAGTCAGACTAAATGCCAAAATGTGCTTAGCCTACTGAAAATATGAGCAGATAACTCCTTAGTTTGTCTTTACAACTTATTGCTAAACAAGACATTTTAAGGTTGACTTGTCCATAGCAGGTATCCCTAATAGACCAAATGAAAAGTTAACTGATTCTCTCATAGACATCACTATAAAATAAGTTTTTTTTTTTTTAATCAATCAGTGGAGTCGCCCCCTGCTGGACATCAGAAAGACTGCAGGGTTAAGGCACTTCTGCGTTGCCATTAGTTAGATAAGGTGGGGCAGAGAGAAAGCAAAACCTTTTAAGGTGTTGGACAAGAGCCATGATGGGTTAAAGAAGCAGAAGGTCAGTGTTAAAATATTTTAAGTTATCTTCTCAACCTCAAATTACTCTAAACACTGCTGTCAAACTTAAATAACACACACATTTTAAACAAAACGCTCCTTTTCCCCCAAAACCCATTAACATTTCACAACACTAATCACACCTGGAAAGAAAATAAAACCCAAATCTTCAAGATAATTGATTCAATAGAGTTATTTTATTAATGCTTGTAACCTCGTTGAGGGGGTAGGTAGGTAGGTAGATCAGAAGAGACGATTCATCGCACGCAGAGCTTCTCCATATCTCACTGATTATCTTGTACAAAAGTGTTTTTTTTTTTTGCCGGGGCGGGGGAGTTCTTCACAGGACTCTCTCGGCTCAGATCTGTGACTTCCTGCAGGCTTGTCATCATGTTTAGGGTTTCCAGAAAGGAAGCTGTTGAGTGTTTCAAAACTGAAGTTTCAAAGGTTAAGAGGTCCTCCAGACTCAATCAGTTGCAGCTCGAGCATCAGACATTTGTGCAGCCAGTCATAGTTCTTCTGTGATTGAAGATAACTCAAATTCTGTACTCAAAGGTACAAGTATTTTGAGAAGTATTTCCATATCAAGATACTTCGATGCATCTGTCAGATAATTATGGTAAAACCTCTGAATTGTTGTCAAATGAGATATACGATTTTACAATTCAAAGTAGGCTGAGGATATTTAGATTCTGATTCATTATTACGCCTTCAGCAGTGTAGCCTTCATCCATTTAAATAATACACAATCATTACCTGCCAGGGACAGTTCTCAGCACAATCAGCACTTTTACTGGTTTTCATACTTCTGTACTTACACTGAAGTATGATTTTTAAAGCTGGACTTGTTTTACATTTAGTAACCTAAAAACCTTTTAATCTGTTATTTCTTGTCACACTTCTCCTTCAAACCTCTTTAGACAGACTTCAAATGTCTGACTTCCTTTTTATTGAAATCTTAATAAAGTTTTGCTTTAGGAAGAAACTAACACAAAACTCACCAAGAGGTTAAGCACTCTGCAATGTTGGGTCAGGATCTGATTCTAATCTCTCAGAGATAAGAATGTGTAAATGAGCTGAAATGTTAAAGGTGTAGTTGAGGGGACCTGTGTGTTTGTGGCAGCTTTGTCTCCATTTGAACACCGTGTGAGTGGGTGCTTGTTTCTTCTGGGTAGAGTGTTTAGTGTTCTGAGTAAATTGGTGATTATTTATGAGTTCAGGTTGGAGGAGGAATGAAGACGAGCTGTGCCACCTAGTCTTCGCACGTGTAACATGGTTTTCCTTCCTGTGTGATGCACCTCTGTGATCAGTAGAAGACAATTATTCTGAGGCTTCAGCAAAGTATAAAACCAGAAGTTATTTTAAAAAAAGTACAGCCGGCGCTTTCAAGTTGCAACATGTCTTATTGTTGAAGTCAAACTGTTGTTAGTGCGCAAATTCTCTATCTGTCACTCCATCTAACGATTGTTTAGAACATTATGAAAGGAAAGTGTAATGTAATTTAAAAAAAACATCCACCAGTTGTACATATAACACAGAAACAGATTCTCTGGGAATCATGAACATCTCCGCAAACATGTCATCGCAATCTGTCCAACAGTCGATAAAGTATTTCAATCCAAATGTAAACCTCATGGTGACTCAAGAGGAAAAGTCAGAGCCACACCAAAGTCACTTTGGGTTCATCTAATGGTCTAATGCTGTCCTCCTCTGTCCTCTTCAGATGAAACATGAACAGCTCCTGGCTTTTCCTGATTATGGCGGCTGCCATTTTTGTCTCCATGGTGCTCCTGGCTTTCGTCTGTCTGGACTGCAGAATAAATGGCCCACCGGGTGGGTTGATATCTCTCTTTACACTTCTTACACTGCCCTAACATGTGGTTAACAGATGACCTAACACGTTAGTCCTCGCTGTGGTTTCAAACAGCCTTAACCAATGTTTTCGCACTTGTGTCTTTTGATTTTTGGTTTCAGCTGCTAGAAGACACTCACTTTACACTTGAGTTATCTCAATTAAACTTTTTGTTCATTCCCACCAGTTTCCATCAGCCAAGGAAATGCGTCAGATGAATACATGCCGTAAGATTTTTTTCTCCTGTAACATTGTCAAGATTGTTTTTATTATGTAATACTTCAAGTCAAATCTTGCTGTTCTCTATTTTTCTAACCTCTCTTTTCTTTATTGATTAGATCCACTAATTTCAGAGTCATCCATCCATGTAAGTCTAAAACCCTGAAAAGTTTTTTTCTTGTGATGGTCAAAGTAATGGCTGCTGTCTTTGCCTTGAATCTTGCAACAACAACAAGCATGTAACTGTTGGTCTTGTAGCGTATATTTGTGGAATATAAGGACATCGCAAGATATCGAGCTTACAAACAAACATGTTAACTTGCTGAATCGTAAACATTTCGATGTAGTAACTGTACATATTTCTGTCGTACCACAGACCAGCCAAGCATTGATACGAACTCCATCCACCCTTCATCCAGCCTGCTGTCACCTTTGTGAGTCCCTTTTTTTAGAACCACCTGGTTCACACCCTGCACACATGTAGAGACTAAGGATTGACACAGATGTGAACATTGACGCTGTGCAACTTTCAGATCACTGAAATGCATTTTAAAACAAGCTGCAAAGAAATCCGTTGTTGAAGGAAGTATTTAGATCTTTTACTTGAGTTAAGGTAACTACGCTTAAAAAAATCAAATAACTTTGTGCCAAGTTAAAGAACTGCTTTAATTCACAATACATAATATTGTTGTTACACAAAGGTATTATCAGAGAAATATCAGAAATAGCTTTGCTCATAACACTGAACGGTCCATTTCAGAGTGTTAATTTATCCAACCGTGAAGTTCCAGAAGGATTAGATTTATTTTTATCATTTATCGCACATGTTTTTTTTTTTTTATGTGGTTCAAGTTGCAAGTTTATCCCTCTTACACGACACGGTAACTTCCTGTAAATAATTAGATTTCTTTGAACAACTCAAATTTTTAACCAGAAAAATAACTTGGTATGTACAGATTTATATAGCAACGCTTTTCAATAAATAGAAGGTTTGAAACACCCACTCGAAATGTAGTGTCAAAAGTGGTTTAAATTGGGAATATTTAAGAACAAGTACTTCCAAATTACATTTTTAGGTAAAGTTCCCTCGACTTCATAGTTTGTTTGTTTTTCAGATGTGAGAATATGACAGACTTGGCACATTTTAATTCCATTAGAAAATATATTAAATGATTTTTATTTTTTCTTGTCAAACTCAGCTCACCTTCAACTGATCCTGGAACTCAGAGGAGACATCGATCCTTCACCCCGACAGATATTCGTGAGATTCTAATTTTTTCACTCTGTATGTGCTGTATATCTAAACGTTGGACTCACCTGTTACTTCTTTCTAACCTACAGAAAGTAATCCAAGCTATGAGAATCCAGTTGGTGGTAAGAATAAGTTTGCTTTCACTGTGTCATTTTACAAATCCATGTTGACGAAGCAAAAAGAAGTCATGTTTGTTGTAACTTTAAAATCATAAAGACATTGAGTTGCTAAAGAGCTTCTGGTTCACCATTGGGTTATTTCAGTGCAGTAAGAAATGTTCCCTTATGGCATTTCTGCTGCATGGAAGACTTTAGCTTTGTTTTGACATTTGTAAGTCTTGATATAACTTATTGGCTTTGACTTAGGACTAAATGCTCTCCGCTTGGAACTTGGTGGCCGAAACAATTTATTTGTCAACTAACAACAGGTTGCTTTGTCCTGGGACTAAGACCTTTGGACTCGTTAGTTTTGATTTTGGACATGTTGTACATGACATGGGACTTGCTGGCAGGTCTGTTGGCCTCAAACTTTGGAACTTTGAGACTTACTGGTTTTGACTTGGGACTTGTAAGACTTGATTTGGGATTTATTAGCCTTTACTTGTGACTTGTTGGCTTTTGACTTGGAAATTGTTTGTCTTGAGACTAGTTGATTTGACTTGGGACTTGTTAGTCCTGACTTTGGACTTAGAGGCCTTGACTTTGAGACTTGTAGGGACTTAATTTAGGACATACTGGCCTTGTATTAGGACTTGTACGTTTTGACTTGGGACTTATAAGTCTTGATAAGGGCTTGTTGGCCTTGACAATTGAATTCCCTCTACCTACGAGTTGTTCGGTTTGATGCATGACTTGGACTTAGCCTTGGTCCAGACTGTTGGACTTATGTGTAACTTCGACTAAGTGTGACTTGTTCCCACCTTGGTCTATATGTCAGGATTTTAACAGCGTGGAAGCAGCAAGAGAACACCAGAGTTTTTCATTTAGCCTACTTCATCTCTCACTTTTAAGATGTAATTGTGGTGTCAGAGTAATGATTGTTGAGTAAATGACGAGCTGACGTGATGTTTTCTGCAGGACCTGATTACATAAACACTGAGAGTGATCAAGAAGACCCTGGATACATGTAAGTTTATCCTTCAGGCACTGCTTTTCTCCTCGGTCCCAGCTGTAATTCTCGTCTGATCATTTCTTCTTCTCTGGTTTTTGCAGAATTGTGTTGCCTGAAGGTGAGACTCCTCTGACCAATCTGAGCCGAGCTTCGACACCCAGTTCAGGTACAATCTGGAAACCAGAAGTTTAAAGTACTTCTACAGTGTGTGCATATTTAAGCTATCTCTAATGTATGACCTCCAGCCTTTACAGATAAGTTGTTAGACTTTAAAACATCATTGACTTCTTATATTGACATTGTTTTCAGAAAACTGATCAGCTGTTTGTTTCACAACAGATGTTCTACATGATTATGAGAATGTCCCAGAGAAGAAAGGTAAGGTTTTATCTTGATTTTTAATTAGTTTTAATATCAAATTAGCTTTCAACTTGATTTCAATACAAGTTCTTTTTAGTGTAGAGTGTTTAAATACTTTTTTTCAAAGGCCATAAAACAAAAAAAATACTTTTCATAAATATTGTCTTATCTCCTCAGAGGACAGAGATTACCTGAATGTTGAGCTGCTGCTCCTTCAACGTGAGTTGGATTTTTAGTGTTTTTAAGGTCTTCCTCAATGCTGCTTGCCAAAGCAAGTTGTCCTGAAATTTTCTTGAAATGTTCACGTGTGTGAAAAGAGCTCTCGATGATGATTTGATTCCTTGTGATGTTTCTTCTTGATGTTTTGTCTCATGCCACTTTAAAACACTGAGATCACGTAACAGGTTCAACTGATGTTTCATTGAATGCTTTCTTACAGGATCAACATCAGACTTGTCCGCTCAGAGCAGCAGCAGTAGTGACAATGATGATGAAGATGACGATGATGATGATGATGATGAGGGGAACTACGTCAATCAGCCACCGGTTAGTGGAGCACAAAGCTCTAGGATGTTTGAAACTTTTACTATAAAGAAGCAGTCAGCTTAGTTTTCTTTCTCCTTTTCAGATGCTTCCCTGCTAGCCCAGTGCATGATGGGACACAGACTGACCGTCCACATCTTTCACCCTCTTCATTTTCCTGAAGATGATGATGACGACTTTCACTTGAGAACAGATCACCTTTCATTCTCAGTTCCTGACGACAGCTGAGGGTACTCGTCTTACACAGACAGGATTTGAGGAGCCGTGGGGTCTCAGTTTTCATCAGACGTCTGACAGCAGGAGCACTGATGTAGATCCAGACACTTCTAATTGTGTCTGCATGGAGGCAGAAATATGTAAACACACGGTTTAATCAGGATTTTAAAGCCATGTGTGCAAGTGGTTGTACTTTCATAATCTCCCAAACCAACCCTCTATAGAAGCTCTATTCACACATGCCCTAAACTATTGGAATATTGTTGCACATTCGAATGCAGATAGCATCATTTTTCGTCTCAATTGTTTGGAACTTTTTCCTCCATCGTAAAATTTGCTCAAGCTGATGAACGCAGCCGGATCTCACCTGGCAGTGATGATGTACACATGGTCCCCAACCGATGTGATCTTCTGAAGCTTATTGAAGCTGCTTCATTTTCTTCCTGCTCACCAGCATGTTTCATTCCCATTCCGTCTTTGATACCGTGACGACGTCCAATTAAACATAGCATTCATATAAAGGCAAAAGCTGTAGGACGTTTTCATAGTGACCACTGCAGCATCCTTCAGCGTCATTCCTTGCCTCCGACTCCCCCCCCCTGCTGTGAGGGACACGTATGATTCGCAACTTGGGAAGATTTCTAAGGGTAGGCCGTCCTTAACTTTATTAAAATCCTCCTGAGGGCATGTGTGAAAAGGGCTAGAGTGAGACCTGGCCTAATTCTTTAGTTTTTACCCTCAAATTCAGCAAAAATGTACGGTTTCAAAATATTAGTGTCAACTTAGACAGAGAGTTACCTGTTACTGAACACTAAATTTAAATCCATAATAATCCTAACAGTTGAGTCCAGTCCACAAACCGCCAACATTGTAGTTCCATCTGATGTCGTTTACAGTCAATCTCTCACCAGGAATCAGTCCAACAAATTTTACTTTTGCAGAATTGTTTCATTATTTTTTATCTAATATGTAGAATTCTTTATTTTTTTTAATCCTGTTATCCTCTATCTTTTTTTTTTGTACCATGTTTAATACTTTGATTTTACTGACAACTCCTGAGAATGTCTACAACTTAAATTTTTTAGTGTATTTATGAGTCGATGATGTCATATTCGCATGTCTCTGTTATCTGCCTGTTACTTCAATTCAATTAAATCTTAACAAAGCTGAAGACACTTCTAGATTGTAAATGTTAATGAACAAAGCCTGAGTGACGTCACAGATCTGTTACTGCAGCAGAAGCCATCCTGGATTTGCTGTCTCACCCTGACAACAGGCTTTAGCTACAGCTGAGGTTTTTTTTAAGCCTCTGGAAAAACTGTTACATGGCGCCCTGCGGTCAATCAGGTCAACAACACGCCCTTTTGCGAATAATGCTTATCCTTCATAAAATAAAAACTGACGAGTTATCAAAAAAACTCAGTGTGTGCCAGTGGAGACATGAGCTAATCAGAGCTATCTCGTTCTTTGAGCCAGGCTGTAAACATGTTCACTGATAGCTTTTTTTTTTTGGCTTGGTGTGTGTGTGTAACTTCCGGTACTTCTGCAGCCAGCCTCAAGGGGACACTCGACAAACTTGCAATTTCCAACATCGGAGGTTTCTGCTTGGTCTGTGCTGAACACCTTGTTTCTCGTAATTTCTAACGAGGTTGTTACATGAAGCGCAGGTGAAAAAAAAAAAAGCATGCTAAACACCTGTTTAACAAGACGTGCTCATTTTTATAGTCTCCTCGTTTGTTGGTTTGAATTAACAACTTCCATGAGCAGCTCATTTAAAGTGATTGAATCCACAGTTGTTTTTTTTAATGGTTTTATTATTAATGAACTGGCTTTGTCTGTAAAAGGACAAAGAGGGGAAAGGAGGTAAAACTGTTTTCAGTCGTCAGTAATCGTCTTCGGTCCATCTTCATGTTCGTGAGTGAAAACAGTCAGTATTTACATTTAAAAATCAGACAAGTCCTGTGTGAGATGTTTCTGTGTAAAAGATAAAAGTGTTAAGAACGATGTGTTAGTTTTATGTCAGGGAGTGGGAATGTTGTAAGATGTTTGGGGGTTTTAGTTGGTTTTTTTTCTCATGTCACAGAGTAACATTTGTCTTCCTCGCTCTTGGATCCAGCTGTGACGAGGAGGTTTCAGTTTGCAGAGGGATGGTAGGAGAGCTGCTGGGAGGGGTGAGCCTGAACCTGAACAGCTGGAAGACACAACACACGTTTCTTACAACTCTGGTCATAAGAAAGAAACTGAGGGTCATACCAAAGCATATCAAAGTTAAGTACAGTATCAGTAAAGGATCCATTAATCATGCCAGTCAATCTTTGATACAGTTCACAGAGAAACAGGCAGCACTAAGGTTGTCAAAATGTTAAACCCTTCAACTTGTTTTTGATAGCATTGAAAATGACCAAAGCTTTAAAACCAGTTGACCAATTTTCAGTCAAAAGCTGCCATGAGAGAAAGAGATAACTGAAATTAAAAAGGATCAATATCATATTTTTGAGGACAACTAAAGACACTTACTGAATTGCACAAACAAATGAGCCACATTTTGATACTGAAACCTTTTCCAGTGTATGGCATGCAGGAGTTTCCTTGTAATTCTAAGTGATCACAAATAAGAAATGAGCCAGTGTGTGCACCTGGAGTTGTGTTTTACCTTGTGGGGGTCCGATGTAGAAGTGTTGTGGTGCTCCCTGCTGGAGGTTGGAGTTGTTGCCTTGCTGAGGGGAAACGTAGTGCAGCATGACAGGGTGGTGAGGTCCTGACATACCTCCTTGGACATGAGCCTGCAGAGGACAAAGAAGACACCACATGAGAAAGTGCAAACTCAGATTCATTCTTAACAGGACCACAAGCAGAGGACAGAGATTTCTGTGGTGGTGGTAACCAGATTTACTGGAAGATAAAGTTGATGGTATCTACCTGTGTGAGCTGACTGATTGAAGGGAAGCCGTGTTGCAGCTGCTGATGGGTGGGCAGGCTGTACCCCTGCATGGTGTAAGAGGCCTGAGGGGAGCTGTGGCCTGGCTGCAGGTTAGGAGGGGTGGGAGCTGACAAACCTCCAGAGTGAAACATTGACTGAGGCTGAGGACCGCCCTGATTCGACTGAGAGAAAAACAGAGTTTAAGAAAACCTTTGATGCAAATATAAACCAAAGACTTTTCAAACAATGTCACAGAAGGAGAAGGTTTTGAAATTATTTGTAACCATTAACTTCACATTATTTTACTTTTTTTAATTTGTTGTTCCACCACTTTCAGCCAAGATGTCTTAACAGGGCACTTAGAGTAAAAACAGATATTCATAGGTATCCAAGACCGATTGCATCAAAAGATTATTACGTTCGCGAACATTGCTTATGACCAGTCTTCCTCCAAATTAAGTACTGCAATCATGGGTGTGGGCCCCCTTACCTGAGAGTGACCTGGACTGGGTGCTGTGTGCTGGGGTGGTGGTTGATTCCCAGTAGGGGTGCTGGAGGGTCCAGGATGGATGGAGCCCGAGTGGTGAGAGAACGACTGAGCTGAGAGAGGGACACCAAATACAAGCAAGAACGTCAATCACACCCTCCTCCTTCTCATATTGTTTTCTTTCTTTCTTTTTATTGCCCGAATTAAATCACAACTCGAGTTATTACGAGTGCAGGTCTCTACAAACTGAACTATGTAAAAAGAAAAGAAGATTAATTTTTTCAAAATTTCTTTCTTTCTTTTTATTGCCCGAATTAAATCACAACTCGAGTTATTACGAGTGCAGGTCTCTACAAACTGAACTATGTAAAGAAAAGAAGATTAATTTTTTCAAAATAGGCTGCTGTGGGTTTGTTAGATACAAAATAAAAAAATCTGCAAATGATAAATATATTTAATCAAGCTTAATGTCTGCTTACCATACATGGCCTGTTGTTGCCTCTGCTGGCCCTCTGCCTGGCCAGGATACTGGGGACCAGGGGGACCCATTGGCTGAGGAGTGACTCCAGATGTCAGCATCCTCGCACCCCCCTGGAGCATTGAGTAAACCGGCTGCAAGAGACAGAAGCCCTTTTCAGCACTATAACAAAGCTCCACCATTCACAGTTTCTGAATTATTACAAGTGCATTCATATTCACGTTTTGTATTTCAGTGAATGATTGATAAGGTTGTAGTTGTTATTGTGTGTAGCAGCAGGAACTCTGACTCTTCACAGCTAAACATCGGTTTGCCTCGTCTGTACCTGTCCGTGGTAGTGCGGGGGCATGGCCTGGATCACCTGACCGTACTGCAAGTAAGACTGGGGGTAAGGTGACGCCACCAGTGGGGGTCCTGCTGCTGATGCTGCAGCAGAGATCATGGGGGAGGTCTGCGAGGCGTGATGCTCTGGCCGCTGTCCTACCACTGGACCTGAAACAGCAGAATAACTGAGGATTTTAGCTAAGAGACTTCCTGAGCTTCAGTCATTAAAAATCATGTAATTTTAGCAAAAATAAAGATGATGTAAAATCATTGCAGCTGTCACCTATAGCATGCATTAAAAGAAAGCAGAGTGGAAATGGATGTGCAGACGTCTGCAAACTTACAAACTATCTACAAAACTATGAAAAGAACAGAGAAAGTGAACAGAATATGCAGAGGAAGTTATTTATTCTCTCTAAGTCTTCAGGAGGATTCATCCAATTGAAACATGTAAAAGTGTAAAAAAAACAGACCCACCTTTAGGTCTGGGGTATTTGCCCTGGTTGACAGCGGACATGGTGTACTGATAGATCTGAGGACTCTGAGGAGAGAACAGAGGGACGTTAGTGTTACAGCAGAGGATGTGATGAATCTCTGCAGACAGAGACGAAAGAGGATCAGACCTGGATGGAGTGTCCTTGGATGTGGAGGGGGGACATATAGGACAGGTAGTGTCCCGATGGGCTGCTGTAGATGGCTCCTCCTCCTGGCTGTCCTTGTGGTGGCAGAACCAAGGAGGGGCTTGGGGGCGTTGGTCGAGGAGGAGTGGGGGTCAACGCAGGCTTCTGTCAAATATAGAAAAGAAAAAAAAGTTACTTTCAGTGTTCACGAAGTCCAAATGTAAGGCACTGATTCAAACTGAAAAGGCGACTGTTTCTGTTTCTGTTTATGGTTTTAACTAACTTACCGGGGGAGCATTTCCTTTTATTGGAAGAAATTCTTTTGCATTTGGATTTAAAGTGGAGTTTTTCACATGCCTGGAAGAGAGAAGCAAAAAAAGTAGAAAAGGTCAAACCACAATAAGAAAACACAGGGGGGCATCAGGTATAAGTGGAACACATTGAAAACATGATTAAGAAACAGAAAAGTTAGAGAAATCAACCTTTATCTCCAGGTGCAGGGATGAAAGGTTAAACCAACTGACCAACACGACCTTCTTATTAAAAGATTAGGAGTAGTCACTTACACAGCAGCTGTGGACTCAGCCTCCGAATGATCACCGCTCTCCAGAGAAGCAGCCCCCTCAGTGTTAGGGGCCAGCTAACTGTGTCATCCCAGAGTCCAGCCCCCCCGGCCCTGAGGACTGGTGGCCAACAGAAGCTGGGGGGTTGGTAGTCGGGGAGGGTGCAATTGTTGTCTGCTGCAGGTCTTGGGCAGAAGAGGTGAGGGGGCTGACAGGTTTAGGTGGTGAAGGTGAGGAGGGGGACGGGGAGGAAGAGTCAACGGGTGAGGCCGAGATGTGCTGAGGAGGGTCTGCAGAGGCCGGGCTTGTTGTCGGGGAGGAGCTGGGCTGCAGCTGAGAGACAACGGGGGAGACAACAAAAATAAACTCACTTATAACTTCACAGAAACCAACTCAACACGCAGGAGTGATTTCAATGAATAAACACAAGTTTGATCAGGGAACTATGGCTTCATTCTAAGTAAAATTAAAGCTCCTGTGAGGAGTTTTATTAGCTGGTTATGAAACATTAAATTCATATGGATGCCTCTTTATGAGCTACAAACACAAATGAGGCTATCAGCATGAAGGTTGATTATTTAAATAATTATTATTTATGCTTGACACTCCTGCTGCAGGGTTGGTGTCTGACAAAGCGATAACAGCCTGCTGCAAAAAAAAAAAACGTATTTCCACACTACAGATTCTCATGAGTAATACAACCCCTTATGACCCATGTATGACCCCTGTATGACCCCTGTATGACCCCTGTATGACCCCTGTACTTCACTTCATATGCTGCCCTATGTAACCCCGGTCCCTTAGCACAACATTTTTCTTACCCTAAATTCTTTGCCAAACTTGCGCAGCTCATCCAGCTGAGATCTCTGCTGGAAAGAGGGAGCTGAGAAAAGACAGAGAGAGAGAGAAGGGGGGGGGGGATCAGGGATTTTAAGAGTGACAAAAGTTTTTGTAAGTATGAATTAAACACCCTAAAGCCAGTTTTTTCTTTCCCACATCCAGAGTAAATA